TTCAATTCAAACTTCGCCCCCTCCCACCGCAGCGTTTTCGCCTCCAAATTTTATAGGAATTTTATTCGGATTTTGCGGGGTTTCCTGGAATTTTATAAGGATTTTATTGGGATTTTATTGGGATTTTATCGGGTGGGGAGGGGGGCAATTCCCACCGCGGGGAATTTTGCGGGGTTCCCCCATGGCGCTGCGGGGTTTGGGGATGGAAACGCTCCCCCAGCCTCGTTTTTAACCCCAAAGCCGCTTTTTATCCCCAAGCCGCTGCTTCGGAGCCCAAAATCCCGGTTTTTAGCCCCAGACCGGCGAGCGCAGCCTCCGAGGGGAGGATTTTAACTCGCTTTAAGGTGAAGCCGCTTTGTGCCGCCCCATCCTCGGCGTCCCCGCGCTCCCCTGAGCGAGATTTTAATTAAAAAAAAAAAATCAAAATGAAAGAAAATGAAATCCCTTCCCCACTCGATGAGGGAGGGGGTGGATAAATCCCGGTTTTTCCACGTGGAAATCCAAGGAATCGGCGCCTTTGTGTGACACCGGCTCCTTCCCGTGACCTCCCCGATCCCAGCCCGGGCTCCTCGCGCCGCTCCCGCTCCTCCCTCGGGGCTTTCCCGGCAGAATTCCCGGATTTTTTCCATCCCCCCCCCGCTGGAAAATCCCGCTGCTCCCTCAGCCCCGCTCGGGGTTCGCTCCCTCCTCCTCCTCCCGCCCCTCTCGCCCCGTTCCCGGCCGCTTTTGTGAGGATTCCTCCCCAAAATATTCCCCTGAAAACGGGAAAACCCGGCCGGGTTTCATCCCTCCTCCTCCTCCCCCCATCCCATTTCCTCCGCGCCGGGAAGCGTTTGGAAAACCGGGATAAATGAAAGGATAGCGGGGATGGGTTTATTTATTTTTATTTTTATTTTTATTTTTAATTATTTTTATTTTTTTAAATTTTTGTTTATATTTTTGGTTTTGTTTCTATTTTTTGTTTCTATTTATTTTTATTTTCTTTTTATTTTTGTTTTTACTTTTGTTTTTATTTTTGTTTTTTATTTTTGTTTTTGTTTTTATTTTTATTTTTATTTTTATTTTTATTTTTAATTTTATTTTTATTTTTAATTTTATTTTTATTTTTATTTTTATTTTTATCTTTGTTTTTGTTTTTATTTTTGTTTTTATTTTTATTTTTACCCCCCCGGCCAACACAAAAACCGCCATCCAGAGGAGGCCGGGGATTAACGGAAAAATCGGGAAAGGCCAAGGAGGGACCGGGAGAGCCTCTGGAAAATTCCGCTTTTTAGGGACTCGCAGGAGCCTCAAAACGCAGCGAGGGAGAAATTCTGGCGGGGAGGAGAAGGATTTTTTTTGGGGAGGGGGGAAAAAATCCGGAGTTTCCCCGCAGAAATTCCCGATTTCCGCTGAAATTCCCGTTTTTCCCAGCGGCTCCGGGACATCCCTTCCTTCATTTTTTTTTTTAATATTTTTATTTATTTGGGGTTTTCCGCGGGGTTTGCGCTGGGGGGGTTTGGGGAGGGTTCGGGGGGGATTTTCCTGCCGGTTCCGCTGGTTTTGGGCTCTTTTCCCCCATCCCCTCCTGGATCCTTCCCTGCATTTTCCTCTCCCGCTGCTCCGGGGGTGGAAATGAGGGGAAATCGCGGGGTTTTGGGACATTGGGGACCCCCCCTCGCTCCGCACTTTTCCCTCTCCACCCCAAATTTCCCCATTTCCCTCCCAGCCCCGAGGGGGTTGGAGAACGCAGAAAATCCTCTTTTTTCCCTTATTTTTAATTTTTTTAGTAGGGTCCTGTCTTTAAAAAAATGCTGAGAGATTTTTTTTTTTTAAAAAAAAAGAAGATTTAATTTTATTTAATTTTTTTTCTTCCAAAAAATCCCGCCCCGAGTTCCTTTTTTTGGAGGCTGCGCTGGGCGGGAGCTCCTCACCTACCTGTCTTTCCTTACAAAACCAAGGTTATTCCCTCAAAACGCACCCGGGGATTTTTTTTCAACGCTCCCAACTCCTCCGCTCGCTCTGCCGCAAAAAAATAAAAAATTAAAAAAAAAAAAACCCCAAAAACCAAAAAGTTTCCGGGCGTCACCAAAAAAAATTAATTAAAAATTTTTTTTTCAAAAAAAATAGGGGGAAAAAAATGGAAAAAGGCAAAATTAGAAATAAATAGAAATAGAAATAAATAGAAATAAACAGAAATAAATAGAAATAAATAGAAATAAATAGAAATAGAAACCTGATG